ATGTTGTGTGATGAGTATCCAGATAATCTCTTTTAGTCTAATCCTTTAAAGAAACACAAATTCCCTGCCTAATCATAGTTCCTTTTTTATTCCTAATGTGAGAAATAATCTCTATTATTTCCCTCTATTGTCCTCAGTAACAATGTGTTAAATGAGATTTTAAGGTTTTTTTTTTCCCAATATGTATTTCTTCTCCTATTTAATTAATTAATTTATTCATGCCAGGTGAGATGCTTTTCAGAGGAACAGTAGAAGTTAAGATTCAAGTCACACTGATGTTATGGTCCTGTTGTGCTTTCAACATTTCTCTTGAAGACTACAGTCTGAAGCCTCCTACAGGAGCACTTGTCTCAGTGTTGAGTAGTCAGGCAGAGATGACTGAAGATGAAGTGCTTTCTATTAAGATTGTGGTAAAAATCTACCCTGTTTCCCTTGGAGTTCAGCTATCATCTAAATGAGCTTATAAGAAAAAATACAATTCAGTGTAGTAAAAGTAGAATATTTAAATTTTAGTACAATAATAATTACTGATGGTATTTCATATATCTGATTGATAGTAAAACAGGAAACATATTTTGTACGAATAAGAATTAAAGTGGAACGACTACTTACATCATATTTTAAAATGGTAATAAAGTCTGAGTGAGAAGGGCAGAAAAAACAGTGGAAATTCCTACTTTGTCCCTAGGTATCCTTAATATTTGAATTTGCTTTGAGCCACAGCAGATCAAAAGAATGAGGATGTACCCCTCATTATAATCAGGATTTCCATAACATTCAAAGCAGTTAAAAATTTTCTCCAAAGAAGTAAAATTTTTTTTATAAACTGAGAAACTCCTTCTACTCTTTTTCCACTCTCCCAGTCCTATTTGTGTGTTTCCAAACACTGATAATCCCTGTGAACCTTCCTTAGAGCAAAATCAGTGAGCAGGCCAAAGAATAAACCAGCATGGAAAATGGACTCTGCCCATGTTCAAAAGAAGGAAAATCACAGGTGCCGAGGGCTTTTCAAATGTGCTGAGCTACAACCATTTTCCATTTCATTCAGCGTTGGTCTGATGTGCGATCAGGACGGTTGCTGAGCACGGCTGTTGGTGCAGTGCAGAACTACAAGCTCTGCCGGATTCTTTCAAAGTTGTGGCACGTGGAAGTAGGTCTGCTTTGAGCAAGGTGGAGTGAAATGGAGGAAATGTGAATCCCCTTCTTGTGAAATTTGCTGTTCAGATCACACCCAGGACTGTCAAATATGCTGACTGTCAACCTGGATGTTAACAGCCAGTCTACTGAAAATTAATCTGCTATCTATCTGCATCATGAAGTGACAGCTGTGTAGTGTTGGCACATTCAACTGTTTTCAGGCAGAGGAGAGTATGATGTTTAGTTTGAACTAGAAACTTCTGATTGCCAGGCCAAAACTTCTGAGAATGTTTTTATAGCCTTGCAGCACAAGGACTAGTCTTGTGTGCATTAGGTCTTCCATATGCATGTGCTTCAGATCAGGCCTGCTTTGTTCCAAATCCTGGAGGCACTTAGGTGAGAGTTAGGTTCCAAACTATTTGCCTATTAGTCCTAGGCATACCCAGGCCAGAGCTGCAATCGCTCAAGGGATGTTTCAGCTGGGCAGGAGCCATCCAGAGTATTTAGGCAGGCTCAGAAGCCATTTTGAGTAACATCTCTGGATTTAATGATTGACATCCTGGTATAGGTACTGAAGTTGTAGTTACCTGAAAGTAAAAGCAGAAATTGTGTCATATTTTTCAAAAGTGATTCAGGGCTGGGTTACAGAATATATATATATATATATATATGTACACACACATATATATATAATAATAATACATATTCAACTGGTGTTAAGATCTGGATCAAAGGAATTAATCCATGTTTGGACTTCAACTCTGACATGAAACCTGGCTTCTATTCTTTAATCACTGTTGTCAACAAATGCTAAGTTTCCAGGTATATCATTCACTTCTGAGAACAAAACTAATGCTCCTGTTCCATTTGCCAGCTCTGATTTTTCAGCAAACTTCTTCCAATTTTTGGCAAGAAAAGTCTTAAATCCCTTTTATGAGACATTGTATTTGGATACCTAATCATGAAGACAACCCCCTGTTAAGATTTCTAAAACCTAGTCCAAATTATTTCCATGGTAGTTAAGCATCAAAACATTTCTGAAAATCCTACCAGGATACCTGCACCATTTGTAAAAAAGGTAGCTTTAAGTCTAGTCTAGATGCATATAAAATGTAAAATGAAGGAGGTAATATTCATGGTGTCATAAACTTCCTTGAGAACAGAAGTGAAATACCAATTCTTATAAAAAGCCTTGATCTTTCATTTATGATTTTCCAGTCATAACAGTAGTGCATATTTTTTCATACTCACGTGAAGTTCCAGTATTTAATATCACCAAAATGACAGCCTTTCACTTGTAGCTTAATTCACTGTGTGTCTGTTTAATTTGGCTTGAGTCACTGCTGTAGAGACTTTACCCCGTAACTGCCAATCCCAGTGTATAATATAAGTTATATTTAAATTCTTTCTGTCAAAATGATCAGTTATTCAGAGATTCTGGTTTATATTCAGAGCTTCCTCTTCTCCAACATCTTTTCCAAATATCCTTGAGTAATATAAATGTCTCTGCTAACCACCTAATGGCAGGCTCTCTGTCTGGCTCTCACCCACTGCAAACCTTATTACTCATGTTACATTTCTACCACCAGAGCTTCCCAGATACCTCAACCATTCAAAGATTTGTTAAAATTGTTCATAATCTGGAATATCAGAACCCAAGTAAGGCAGTGATTCTGTTGAAGCAGCAGGGATAGAACTGGTCCCCAAGAAGTATTCCCTGAGAAAAACAAAAGGCACCATAATGTTCTTTAAGGATTGTTATACAGTCATCATATTCATGATGTTCAGCCCTCTTGGTATCACATTATTCCTAGATACATGTGAAAATGTTATACATAGTCTCCCTGTCCTACTGCAGGATTGTAACTAAGCTGTGAAAGGACTACAGTTTATAGCCATGGCAAGGAATTAAGAAGTCTTGGGTCAGTTTCCAATCACTAATGTGCACTTAAGATTTTACTTAAGGTAAACATATAATGCATGGAATCTTTTTGGCTTCAATATCTATCAAACATGAATAATAATACTCCTTCAACCTTAAAGGCCTTTCTATTTCTGTTCTCTGTTTCTCTATATGAAAGCATGCAAGCTCTGCTTACAAGCATCTGTATCTGACAGGTTAATGCCAAACAACCTCTAAAGTCCTAGTACTTCCACCAGTAAAATTCCATAGTCAACTATCTGCCTGCCTGCCTGCCTGTTTTGGGGCATCCACCAAACTACACGTCTCTATTGTTATCTAGTAAATCATTTCACCTCTTTACCTCTTTTGAAACACAGAGAAGATATTCTCCTGCATATTTTGCTAGTAGAAGTTTTCTTAGAACGCAATGTCTGATCAGAGCTCACACACAACCTTAACAGTGAGGTGATATAGCCAGGTCATCCTCCAGCAGAAAGGGAGTGCACCCACCTGCGCTTATTGATTTTACTAGCAGTAAAGCACTACATACAGTTACATGAAAGTGGGAGGGAGAGATCCATATCCTCTGGACTTTCTAGAGAACTGATAATTTTTCAGGTTCTCTAACTGACAGAGGGGGGTGCACTGCTGAGTCATTCAATTCTGGCAGAGGCTTCCAGGATCAGCTGAACCCTAATTGTTTCACCAGATAACTATAGGTTATTCCTATAATAAGGGTTTACGTGCACCTGACATTCCAAGTCAGGCCCTTGTCAATACTCTTCAGGCTAACTATTAGGATGTTATTTGTTCTACAGCTATTAAAAGAGAAGCTCTACAATTTGCCGAGTCTGTAATTCTGCTGGTGATAATTAGCTCTCCTTTGCCCTAAGTGTTCTAACAAATGGGTCATTTGCAACAAAATATATTCAGCAATATTTCTGCATTCTATCTACATAGTGAGCAAGACAAGTAAAGTCTTACATCAGTGTATTAATTGTTTAACATGGTTCTCATTCTCAAGCATGTAGATTTTTTTTTTTTTTTTTTCTCAAGTACCTCCAAACTACCTAAGACAGTGAGGAAAAAGAGAGCATCTGAGGAGGAGGGGGACATCAGTAAGCTGGTAAGATGAATAAGTTAAGTTCTTTAGATGGAAGCTGTACTCAAAACTCAGTAACATTAATGGCAAAACGTCTTGTGGCTTCAGGTGGCTTTGAAGGCACTTTCATTTGACTGAGAAGATGAGAGAAAGCTCTCTCACTCCAACAGATGAAACGCATCTCTAGGATGGGCTGCATTAAAAGGAGCGTGACCAGCAGGTCGAAGGAGGTGATCCTGCCCCTCTACTCTGCTCTTGTGAGACCTCACTTGGAGTATTGTGTGCAGTTCTGGTGTCCTTAACATAAAAAGGACATGGAACTGTTGGAACAAGTCCAGAGAAGGGCCATGAGGATGATCAGGGGGCTGGAGCACCTCCTGTATGAAGACAGGCTGAGGAAGTTGGAGCTGTTCAGCCTGGAGAAGAGAAGGCTGCGTGGAGACCTCATAGCAGCCTTCCAGTATCTGAAGGGGGCCTATAGGGATGCTGGAGAGGGACTCTTCATTAGAGACTGTAGTAACAGGACAAGGGGTAATGGGTTAAAACTTAAACAGGGGAAGTTTAGGTTGGATATAAGAAGGAAATTCTTTCCTGTTAGGGTGGTGAGGCACTGGAATGGGTTGCCCAGGGAGGTTGTGAATGCTCCATCCCTGGCATTGTTCAAGGCCAGGTTGGACCAGGCCTTGGGTGATATGATTTAGCGTAGGGTGTCCCTGCCCATGGCAGGGGGTTGGAACGAGATGATCTTAAGGTCCTTTCCAACCCTAACGATTCTATGATTCTATGATTCAATTGGTACAAGACAATTTTTTTTTAAGTAATGTAATTAAAGCATTTAAAGAATAGATAACTGCAACAGAAAAATAAATCCAAATTACAAAACCTGCTATCAAGTAATCACAGAAATTCACTCTCCCCTCCAAAGTAAGTTTTTTCTAGAACAAGCCTCTACAAGCAGTTATTGCATTGATTACTATGAAGAAAAGCTCTATAGAGAACAGCATATAGTGTAAAAAAAATGTTACATATTGCTAAATTTAGTTTCAAGTTTTCTACAAAACTTTCAGGAAGCAAACTACCGCCTTGCAAGCCTGAGTTCAACAAAGGGACAGAATCAGACTAGGAGGAAAGTTTGCTCTGTCAAATTTAAAACAATGATAATGCTTTTGTAAAGTGTTTTGCTTTGCTTTGGATTTGGCTTTTAACTACCTCAGCATTTTCACATGTTGCCTGACTTCCTACTATAGATAAGTTATGGGAGCCTTCAGAGAAGACTTTGAAAACATATACTTCCATGACTCAAGGCTTTGATGCAAGTTGTATATTCCATGGAACGAGCCCACCCCAGCCCTGTAACAGCTGCAAAACTAGAATACTGGTTTATTAAGCATCTGGTACATGCAGCAGTATAGAATATTGTTCATTACCTGAAATTAGAAAGCATGTGCATTCTTCACATCTTTATTTTTCCAGGAACAAGCGGAGAAAAGAAGACAGCTCCAGACACACCAGTTGTAAGGCCCAGAATGTGAAATTCAGGTTGTCCAAGCAGTGGGTATTGGAGACCATCCTGGAGCAAATCCAGAGTCAGAATCACTGAAGGTATGGGCCTGCCTTAGCACAGTCGCTGCCGATGGAGGCAATGACTACCAGAGGAGCTCTGTAAGGAGCACAAGGGCAGGAGGTGGGGGGCATTAGACAAATAATGCTTCTGGGAATTTAGATTTCTTTTCATATCTGATACCTAATCATCATGGTATCATGGTGGCTTTCCCTTTGGAGGAACCACCACCCTCACACCTTCACCTTCCTTACTTAGGCTTGACATTGGGGCCAGTGCTGTTTGACACTGTCATCAATGGGCTCACCGATGGTATGGCATATACCTTCACAGCACAGCTATGGATGCCACCAACATGTGGAGAGTGGTAGATACACCGGAGGATGGTGCACCATTGTGAGAGGCCACAACGAGCTGGAGAAATGGTTCCACAGTAACCTCACAGAGTTCCGCAACGGCAAATGCGAAGTCCTTTATGTGGAACAGCAGGGCAAGGTGGAATAACTAACTGTCTAGCTGACAGCTCTGGAGCCAAGGGCCTGGGGTCTGTAGTCATGAAGCTGGTCATGAATTGGCAGTTAGAGTAAAAACTAACCACATATTGGGCTCTGTTAAGAGTGTAAACAGCAGACCAAATCAGCAATCCAACCTACTTGGCACTCAAGGTACTTTTTCTAGTACTCTTTCAAGTTTACCACCATCCCAGCACAAGATATGTCTACAAACTGTAGAGAGCACAGCAAAGGGATGACAGGGCTGGAGCACATAGCACACAAGGTGAGGTTGAAGGATTTGAACTTACTCAGCCCAGAAAGGGGTTGCAGAAATAAAGCTAGATTCTTCTGAGAAGTGCAGAGCTGAAGCACAAGATGTGATGGTCACAAGACAAAATATAGGAAATGCAGCATGACCAGTGTTAAGGGAAAGAACATTCATCACCCTAAGCACTAGCACAGTTTGCCCCATTTCACAGAGGCTGTGAAATCCATCCTCATCCTAGGAGATTTTCAATGCTCAGCTGGAAAATGCCCTAAGCAATCTGATCTAACTTTGAAGTTAGCACGGCTTTCATGTCTCCTCTGACCTAAACTACTCTGGTTGCTGAATCAGTTGCCACTAGATGAAGGCCTCAGGCATGAACATGTTCCTTCCAGACATGTTTACCTCAGACTGGTTGCCAGCTGATTGGTACAAGCTAAGGCCTGTAGGATCCTGTAGGCTTCCTGAAGGTGCTAGATATGATGAGCCACATTCTCACATATGGCTGTCTGCCTCTGAAAATTCTGGACAGGCTTCCTAGTCACACCAGGAGTATCTTCAACAAGTGGCATTGATCTTCTGGACTCAAACTTCCTCTTAGTGATGGGGAGCCTGGCTAGAATGGTATCAAACAGTCCAGTGGTCAGAGATCTGAACTGCTGATGGAAATGTCTCCTTTATGCACTGCCAGTTTTCAAACAACAGTTCTTGTAGACAGTTGACTATCTACATAGCAATGGCTCATGTTATGCAATGCTGGAAGTTAGGGGAAGCCAGATGCACTTAAGATGGCATAGACTTTTTAGCAGGAGGCACAAGAGGGGGATCAGCAGGCAGCAGTTACTGCTGCACTGAAGCTGGTAGCTGTTGACAGCTATGGCTGTGTCTACTGTTTTACCAGTGTCACGCTGGAGGCCTCTGTAAAAGCGAGAAGAGTTGCAAGGTAAGCAGTACTCCAAGCTGCACTACAGCTACTCAGCAGTGTGGATGAAGTCGGTATGCTCTGGCTTCTTTGGTCTTTTATGGATATCAGAGATAATGAAGACACACATTTATGTTTTTTTACATGTGAATACCATAACTGCATACTACTTACCCAATTATTACTATTGACTTCAAATGTGTGGTGGATGTATCAGCATTGGTGTCCTGGCTCCCTTGTTAGATACTGGGAATACACAGTACTTTTTTTCAGTCTGTGGATTTTCACTAAATTGTGGTAAGCAATTTCTATCTATGTGCCTTACTGGTTTGTCTTGTCCCTCTTTGTCTAGGAAATTCTAACCATGTTGAGTTCTGCAGTGAATCTTTTTCTGACTAAGAAAACTTGTTTCTTTTGTTATCACATTTTAATTACTGAGTTTCCCCTCTCATTTGCATATATGTTTAGAATTTCAAGGTATTCAGTGATGTCAGCATTTGTCTTTTTTCCTAAGTATTGCTTGCTTTCCAGATATAGCACTTGTTTGGCTTTGCTATATAACAGACCCACCAAATGAAGATCTAACTGTCACTAAGAGCATTATTTCTGTTGAAATATGTTTTATATGTACATTTATGTTTCTTTTGATAATATAAAGGTTTTTTTTTTCATCAAAAGATCTTAGAGATTTTTAAATTAATCTGTATACACACTATAAGAAATGTGTAAATGCCTGATGCAGTTGAAGAATATAAGTAGTTATGACTTTTGTCCGTATTATCTGTTGAAATAATTTCACAAATGAGACACTGAAATTATTTAGTAGGTACTGGGCCAGTAGTATAGATCCCATTTAATTTTTTGTTTGTCTTACAATTTACCTTCCAAGTTTAGATAATTTATGAGTACTCTTCCACCAAATTTCATAAGCTAGTCATTGTTTTCCTTCTAAATTTATACTGTAATCTCTAACATACTCCTCAAATTCCTACCACAATAACAATCACATTTTTTAACCATCCCTCAACAATGTTTACCCAAGCTGTAGAGCTGCATGTCTTATAGATGGACTGCAATTCCATTATATATGTACTGGCTCCTTGTTATGTTCAATGTATCAATTACAATTTTATAGTACTCCTGCTGTTGGGTAGCAGATTTTACATTTGTGGACCTGCTTCCTAAAGAAATTGTAATATTTTCTTTAGAAACTGAACAAATAAAACAACTCCCACCCAGAAAAAAACCCAACAATCTCTGTTTTCTAAGACCTGTTTTGAACAGCTGATAAAAAAATTGCAAGGTGACACAAGGGCTGGAAAACAGCAAATGTAAAAGGTCCAATGATTTATTCTTTGCCCTCCATAGCCACCATTCATTTATGTGATTAAAATGGAGATCCCAATAAGTCTTTGGAACATGTTTATTCATCTCAGATAGCATCTTTGTCCACAAGCATTCTCAATATATGTGTGAGTAGAAAGTTCTATTATATATGGTAATGGTAATAATACTATTTAGATAAACCCCGTCTGAAGAAGGAAGCTAAATTTAGTCAGGAGCTGGAATCCACTCTTCACCTCACAAATAAGTTCTCTAGCAATCCAGTGCCTCCTAGCTCATTTGGCATCAGATCACACCAGATTAATTCTCAAATTGCAAATCACTAATTCAATCTACTGAAGTCCTTTTAATGTATTCTGGAAAGGCATCAAACCTATAGTGCAGCCTGACCTACATTAGTTTGTATGAGCTGATGAGATCACAGAACAATGAGAACTACTGTTCATTTCTGCAACCATTATAAAAAAAAATAAAAATAAAGCAATGAAGGGGTGAGTACAAGGACCATTATACAAAACAGAGCAATAAGGAATTGCTAATTACATTACATAATTAAATATTAACATGCATATTAGCATCTAAATAGCTAAAGGTTGCAAAGTAAAGTATTCAAATTGTTGGTATAGCTGTTCATTGTGAGGCTGAAATTGCATGCTGCTTGCCAGCTGGAGGAAAGAGAAGAGGGAGATGCCAGTGATAATTACACCTGTGACAGCCAAACACTTTTTCTACCTACTGGTACTTTCTGCCACACTCTGTGGAATGAGCATATAAATGTCCTCACGCATCGACAAAAAGGGTTATGGTTCAAGGTATTGACTTGGAAACTCTTGGATTTTTTAGGCTTTCTTTAATTGAAACTACAAGGGGGTTTGGATATTTCTATTGCAAGTAATAATGTATGTCTCCACTGCAGAACTGGGTAAATTTGCTAATCCAAGCAGAATGAATATCTATATCTTTTCCATGTCTACACAGCTGTATGTTCACTCTATATTAACTTACAAGACGGGCTAAAACTTTGGGTGTGTGGAAGAATCACAAGCGTCTTTGTAGAAGTATTAAGCTGTACCATTCTGCATTTTTTTTTGTATAAGGAGAAATGTGTATACCAAGGACCTTTAATACCCTCGAAGCACATTATAGTTTATTGGAAGATTTCTATTTTGCCCACCTGCTAGAAATTGTGAACTGGAAAAGGGTAGAAAGTAGCACATTTATATGGAAAAGCTCTTCTTTCACCTGATAAGTTCAAGACTCAATGCCTAGCAGTCCTGTGGCCTAGGCCTTGTCTGACACAGAACAGGACAGTTGTTATTTCTAGATCTCTGACCTAAGATATTTGAATTTTTTTAGAACTAGAAAGCTCCCCTACATTATCCAGGTAGACATAAGAAAAGAGCTGATAGAAAATACAGCACCACAGAAATGTCTTTGTAACAAGCAGCAAGTGTTTTTTTTTCACCTGGGTTGCACTTTTGAAAGGTTCTGAAAATGTCCTAAATGTGTTTCTGCTGTGGCTGTCACCTTGCAATGTGTTGGGTAGAATTTTAAGAATCTTTTGGGTGGTATATTAATATCAGACCTCAAATTATAATCATAGTCCAGTTGCTTTTGGAAAACTTAACAGAACATAATGTATACGAAACATATTTGATTCCTACTCTGCCACTAGAGAATTTTGTATCTGTATGTCCCAATTTCTCATTCTTATCCAAATGTCATTACTTTTGTCATTAGATCATCCACTGTAATTTATATCTTCCCAAACCCCAGTTCCAGTCCACTTCTTAAAAGCACATTACCTCTTCTTGCAGCATGCATTCTGCACACATCTTTTATTGGATTTTACTGTAATCACTCATTTCCTAATGTTCCTTCAGCTCATATATTTTTTGCTCTGCTTGGCATGCTCCTTGGACCGTCTCCAAAACAGTCCCTGATCTTATTGTTCAGTAAGCCATATGAGGAAAAGCATCTGATCTTATCCCACAGCTTATCACCACCATTCTATTCCACATAAATTTTCTTAGTCATGCTAGAATTTTTATTTCACTTACTCTACAAATCTAAT